TAAAGTGAAACGACCAGAAAACGTAACGACAAAAACGAAAAAGAGAAGAGAAAGAAAAATCTTAACGAGCAATGGAGTACAAAAATTGTAACAACAGCACAGAGAAATTACGTCAATCAAGAACATTACTAGCCAGCAAAAGTCTAAGTGACTTGTACTAGTGGTCGACGAGTACAACGAAAACAATATGGCACCTGTTAAACAACCTGGGACCACCAACTACATTAACATAGAGAAGAGCGGAGTTCCCCAAGGCTGTCTTTTGTCTTCTTTGTAGTTTAACATCTGAGCGACTAGAGCCGCAAAAACCGACGCTAGTGCTAGAATGGGTTTAGAGATTAACACCTTCGTTTTTACCAACGGTGAAATTTTACCAAAATGTTAAGAGCATCTAGGCAGAGAAATGGGTACCTGTTTAAATCACCAAAAAAGAAACGGAGGTACAAGAATTACGCCACCTGAAGAGCTTTTCAGAGCAGTTCGACTGAGAACTTTGCTTCTATCTAACATCGAACAGGAAGATATGAAAACTTTTTGCGTATTTGAACCTCGGATGTACAGATAAACAAAAATGTTGCGAATCAGCTGGAACATGGAAGTCCTGGCTATAATTACTAAATATGCGGTTTTCTCGAACCTGAACGACTTTTTCGTGAAAAGCCGTTAGCAGCACTCGTACTTTCCGAGGTACAAGCTGATATTAAAAATATGGCATTTTTACATACTCTGTGTTTGGAATATTTCTCAATGTCTGATGTATTTTTTTAACGGACCACCCTATATATTTTTTGAACAAAAATCGTTTCAACAATAGTCAATGAAAAATTCACAATTTGATTAAACGCATGCAAAAACAATATTGCTTCTTTCCGTAAATAGTTTTACCTCACCGACGATTTTTTGGTCTAATAATAGTGAGAAGATTCTTGAAACTAAGAAACGAGGTTCCAGCGTTTTGCCAAATAAATAATTGAAAAAAACGTTATAATGATTGAAGAGTTCTTAAGAACCTTTTGCTTTTCGAATTAAACAAGTTTTTGCAAATTTGAGGCGCGCGTTCGAAGAATTATTCATCGATGACGAATTACGCCGGTTGAATATTTATGAGTCGAAATTTCCAACCAAAGACGCGAAATAATCGATCGATCTTCCGAGTGACTAATAAAATAAATACGCGCCGAAGGAAAGGACGTCCTGCGCATGCGTCGCGCGCACGCCAGAGCATACAAATTAATATGAAAGTCCTTTCCATCGATGTCTCGCATATACACGCAGAAAAAAAAGCATTGAGAAGACCGTAAAATTTCGGTAACTAGGCTAAGGTTGAACCATCCGTGGCGATTGATTGGAGCGGAGATTGTCAACGACGCACAATATTTTTTTATCATATACCGGGCGTATAAAAATTGTGGCAACGTGTATAATAACAAATATGCGTTTAATATTTTCAGAAAATCCATTTCATGACCTTAAATTACAACCCTAGTATTGGGGCAACTGTTTAATTTTAAGGGTTCTTATGTCTTCTTTGTTTCTCCCTGTCACGCCGAGTATTCGACAAACATGCTGCTGCAGGATTGAGGAGTGGGGTTCAATTGCTTCACGGTTGACCGAATCCTAAATGAACGCTAAGTTGCGTTTTATGTTATTAACATGTTTGATAATTTCAATATAGACCCCCGAATTTTTCCTGGGTACAAGAAATTTGGTCTTATCGATATAAAAACTGGGGCCCTGTCTGGAGGTGATATTCAGAAACAGCTGATGTCGTTATTTGTCGAAGTCTGATTGAACTTTAGCGTCCTTTTAGCTTGGTTGATATTTTTGACCTGGTAGATGTTGAGAGATTTTATGACAAGTCGAGAATCTAGTTTTAATTATTTTATCGGTGATATTTGGAATATATGGAGGTACTGGTGACTGCCTGAATTATTTGAAGCTAAGAGGTTAGGGCTGAGACAGTGATATTGCTCTTGGTGCTAAACATTTAATCACGAAAGCTTCTTGAGCTGCATGGTGACGTAATATTGCATTTAGGTGTATCAATCGGTTTTTTAAAGACGGAATGACGCAAGTTTAAATGTGAGTTTCGACTAATAAGAATGTCTTGAAAGGGAAGTGAGTTATTATATAATTTCATAGTGAAATTGATGTTTGGATGTATAACAAAAATATCACTACATTAAGGTGGTTCAAAAAAAAGGTTTTTTGGATCTAATACACAAACACTATTTATCTCTAGAAAGTACTTACCACGTAGACTTAGTGTTATATATAAATAATCATATCTTATTACCAATAGATCAGTAAGTCAATTTTATTAATAATTTTTATGGGCAATTGAAGGCTCTACAAAAATCGAACCATTTCAAAGATGTTCGATAATTTTTTCTCAATTTTGTAACTGACTGAAAAATAATTATGGTGAAATGTTTTCAATTATCAAAAAGGTCCCGGTTGAGAAATATTGTTCTTCAATTGTGATTAAAGGAACATTATAAAAAAATTTGATTAGGAAGAAATATAATCCAAAACAAATGATAAAAAATAGTTTAAAAACTGTCATTTTACCAAAATAAACTCGCAGTTTTTATGAATGTTGTGAAAACTCGTGAATTTAATGAATAAATTGAAAATATTTATTAAAAAGACCTTTTTTGTAGAGAATTAAATTTTCTACAAGAATAATTGAAAATATTTCACGATAATTATTTTTCAGTCAATAACAACATTCTAAACAAAAAATTATGTTTTTTTAATTCTTCAATATCGTTGAAATAAAAATCATCAATAAAATTGGCCTTGGGGTAACTAGCGTTTTTTTTACCCAACTTGATCTACGTGTTTTTCAACGTTTCGGCTTAGATGGCTAGGCTGGATAGTTTTTTTCTAGTTCCCTCATTTTTTGGACTCCTCTTATTTTTGAAAAACGGAGACACAAGAAAAATTTCCTTGTTCAGCTTCCAGCGTTAATTGCATTAAATCGAACCGCCTAGTTCCAATTTCCGAGTAAGCAAATTTGATGCAAAACAATAAATAGCATTTATACGACAAAAGCATGAGCTTCTCCATTGTCTATAAATTCGATGACATTTTCTTGATCATTTGACGATTGCCTTGAGGTGCTTATATGCGAATTCAAAACCGGTGGCTTAACAAAGCAACACTTTTATTCAAATGATGACTTTGTATTTCTGATGTCGCTCACAATAACAAATAAAAACAAAGGGAATAATAACAAAACTTAAGACGCCTTAGCATAATTTCTTATTAAACTTTGGTTGTTCGCTTAAACTTGACCTATTTGGGTTGTTTAGATTTCTAGAGAAGATGCGATATAATGGATGCCTGCAAATGAAGTATAAGGTTGTTCGGAAAGTCATTTCGTTTTTTCCCGTCAGAGGACTTAATTACGTTTTTTCGAAACCAACTTCACACTTAAGCCGCATAACCATTATATGTCTCGAGAGCTGATATTGCAAGGCTTGTGTGTGAAAAAGTTCTATTAATTCTACGCAGTAGTTTTTGGTTGGTGCCCTTTTAAATATGGAGAGCAATAAGCAGCATTTTCGTCATATTTTACTTTTTTACTTTAGAAAAGGTAAAAATGCTGTCCAAGCGAGAAAAAAATTGACGGATGTGTATGGAGAAGGCGTGTTAACAGTACGCCAGTGCCAGAACTGGTTTGCAAAATTTCGATCCGGCAATTTTGATGTCGAAGATGCACCACGGTCTGGAAGGCCGGTCGAAGCTGACAAAGATGCGATAAAGGCATTAGTTGATGCAAATCGGCGAATAACCACACGAGAGATCGGTGAGAGATTAAATTTGTCGAATTCGACTGTTTATGGCCATTTGAAAGGCATGGGCTTAACCTCGAAGCTCGACGTGTGGGTGCCCCATGTCCTTACGGAGCGAAATTTGTGTCGTCGCGTTGACGTGTGTGATTCGCTCCTCAAACGTCAAGAAAATGATCCATTTTTGAAGCGGATTATTACTGAGGACGAAAAATGGGTTGTATACAACATTGTTAAACGCAAGAGGTCATGGAGCCGAAAAGTGACCCGGCTCAAAGCGTGTCAAAAGCCAACATTCGCCAAAAAAAGGTGATGCTCTCCGTTTGGTGGGATGTCAAAGGAATCGTTTTTTTTGAGCTTTTGCCGGACAATACAACGATTAATTCAGAAGTCTATTGTCATCAACTGGATAAATTGAATGATTCACTTAAAGAGAAGAGGCCCGAATTAATCATCAGGAAGGGTGTAGTGTTCCACCAGGATAATGCGAGACCTCACACAAGTTTGGTCACTCGCCAAAAACTTTTACAGCTTGAATGGGACGTACTGCAACATCCACCATATTCTCCAGATCTGGCGCCTTCCGACTACTATTTGTTCCGGTCCCTGCAAAATTTTTTGGATGGCAAAACCTTTACCTCAAATGAAGATGTCAAAAACCACCTGAACCAGTTTTTTGCCAGCAAGGACCAAAACTTTTATGAGAGGGGAATTATGTTACTGCCGGAAAGATGGCAAAAGGTGTTGGACCAGAACGGCCAATATATAATTTAATAAAATATTTATTCATTATACGAAAACTGTCTTTCATGTTCCCCAAAAAAAACGAAATGACTTTCCGAACAACCCAATAATTTTTTGTTTTTTTTTCTCACGCGGTTTTATTTGCACGATCCACGTTTCGAGAGAGGAAAGTGTTCGTCTACATAAATATTGTATCGATAATAAAAACGTCTATATAACGCCCGAGATTTAGGTGAAGGTTATTTATTATTACATTACGAAGTATTTATCCGCCCACACGGCGAACTGTGCTGTGTGCACGTTACCGACGTCAGCCTTGTCGGACACCAATGGTCAACGGATTGTGAGTTTTCTAAAGTCCGCCAGTATTTCAGCATCGCGGTTAAGCAATGCCCGGCAACGCTCTTATAATTTTTTGCCATATGCGAGAGACGGCGCAGCGAAATAAGAATGACGTACCTCTATGACTTCGTTGAGATCGGCCACGTAGACGGTTTCAGTTTCCAAAACTTCCTGAAGGACCCGCTGCTCGTGGGTGATAGGGGTTTGTTCTTGCTCCGCTATGCCGCTGTCAGCGGATCCTGTAATAGTGACGTAAATTATGTCACACAGCAAGATGCTTAATTAGTTTTGTTTTGTTAGTTTCTATGTAATTTTAATTGTCAAACGCCAAATAATCATTTTATAAACCAAAATTATTTTTCCTCGCGAACAATCGACATATTCGTAAGTATCCTGGAAACCTCAAAATAAAAATGTTTTTCGCTCTAATCAAAACAAACCCTTGCAAAAATACTCCACTGAGTATCCCTACAAAAAATAATAGCAATAATTTTAGAAACCTACCAAATAGCTTTAACCAACACCATTAGTTGTAGAAAAATTGAATAGGTAATTCTTACAACAAATCGACCTAAATAACATTTGCTAAAATTTGATATCTCTGAAACCATTCGTACTGATCAAATGAATAATGAAGAAAAGTCGGAATAATTGAAGCTGAATTTTTTGATATTTTCTACAATGAAAACACGCCGTTAATTTTTGCGAATGAAATGCCTATATAAACAAAAACCTACAGATATCCGTTTATACATAGAGCAGAAAGGTGATCAAAAAATAATTAGTAATTTTCGTTCTTCACACCCTATTCGGATCCTACTGACTGCGCCACTTTTCTAATGGAAAACCGAAAGTCCTTTGAAAAACCGACTTTCGGTTTTCGGTTAGAAAATTCGTCGGTCAATGTTAACCGCATTCTAAGGCTGTCTTCAATTTTGTTGCAAGTAATATTGGAAAAAAAATCCTACAAGAAACAAGAGTTAAAGACATGACGATCAAGGCCCGAATTTTTGTAAAACAACCAATGCGAAGGACGCCTAATATTCCGGTATACGGAGAAATAATTACATTAAATACACGAGAAAACTGTGGCACAATGCAAAGGACGCTTCGTAATTGAGTCGGGTCAGGAGTAAAACGGCTTTTGCACCGAACCGACGCACTGTATATTACCGGTCTGTTTATGGCTAACGACCGATGATCCTTGGCATAACTTTTTCGGTCGACAAATACCAGCAACGATCGGTTATAAAGTAGATTAATTAGCCGGCTACCTGTCAACGCCCGTATCTATACATTGTTGCGACGAACAGAAAACCAATCGGTCCCCAGTGCCACTTTTTTTTTGTTAGCTATTTGCTAGAGTTCTCCGATATACCGTTTTTACAACTTTTATGGTTTTGACATAGGAATGACTTTACGACCCGCCTGTCGTAAAGCGCGCGTACTACAAGTCAGGGCCGTATTTAAGGTGTTAGCTGACAAGAACTGTGCCGTGCGGAATGTTGTATTTTTAGAATAGGATTTAATTATTTATCGATTAATTAATAATCGATGAATCTCACCGATGAAACTCTACACAAAAGCATGTATGCACGAAGTACCGAAGTACGGTTCTGGAACGTCATTATGGAATTGTGAATCTATTTATTGAGAGTTAAAAAGGAGAAGCCCATACGAGGTAGGCCTGCGGTTAAACCGTCATAAAAATTTACCAAAGTTAAATACCGGATTATGTAGTAAAAACGGTATACATTTTGGAGAACTATACTTTGTCGTGGTGCCTCATAAGTTTGTCGACCCAGCCGAGGGCAACTAATGGCACCGCTTTCCGCTCTCAGCGAAGGCGCGGCTAAAAAGGGCGAATTGTTTGCCAAAGCACTTAACCATGTAGGATATTTTCACAATCAGTTCGCTCGATACGTCTGTCATGCGTTAAGATTCATTCTTAGCCATAGGATAACTTTCATTGACCTTCATTTCCATGTAAACATGTAAACATGATTGAGCATTCTTTTTTTGCAAAAATGTGACATACGCTGGTACGTTAAGTCTTTGAAATTGAGGAAAAGACATTTATATTATTAAGAAGCATCGAAAATATGAGGGGAGCAAGGTTACTTCCCTGCAGAGCTCCACATGTGGCAATGAATTCATATCACCTATGTCCCTGCATTTCGATGTATTGAACTCTGTCAAGTACGACTTATAGAACAGTACTAGATCTGCGTCGAAACTACATTTCCACAAGTTTGTGGAGAAAAATCTCATGGTCAACGCTATCGAAAGCTTTCGAGAAGTCAGTGTCCTAATGTTTATGTAACATTATTATGGTTTTAATGAATTTCAAGCAAAAATATAAGAAAACCAAACTAATTAAACAACTAAAAATATTACGGTTTATTTTGTTTCAATTTTTTTTAGCCACTGTATGTTCGATGTTAGTGGAAAATAGCAAACATTGCATTGACAACTGGATGACCTCACTCTTTCCTTAAGTTCGACCGTCGCCATTTGAGATACTCCGATAAACGTTAAGCAACAGTATCCGTGGGTTTATACTCTCTATACGAGAGAGTTAGATGTATCCTTCTCGGCAGAAGGCACAGAACATAAAGCGCTATACACCTGCTCCAATAATAACCTATGCGCGTGCGTGGGACACACGTTCCGTTCTAACGACAACTTTTAAATCAAAAACACGATTGTTCCTCCTTCAGCGGACCACGCGATTTCGCAATGTTATTATTAACGTCGGGTTTTCGGGACCCGGCCCTGATTTCTATTTTCAATCGAATATCAGGGACGTACCTTGACTGCCCGCAGGTTCGGGATCGCTGTCCAAGCTTTCGGCGGACGCGAGATAGGCGAGAGGCTGATGGTGTCCGTTGCTGCTTCCCGACGACGAACAGGAACCCAGGCTAGTCAGGGACACCGGTCTCGACACCTCGGACGAGGAGGCAGTGCTGTTCGTGCCCGCACTAACACCACTGGCCTCGCTAGGGACCTGAAATGATTTTTTTTATTAATTTATTATTACACACATAAATATATCATTATAGCAAAAAATTGTTTTATCGTACTTAAGAAAGAGCTGATAACTTAAGTTACCCGTTTGGACCGCTAAGGTTTTAGAGAAAATACTACTCGAAATATGATAGTTGATAATATTTTTGAATCGAAGATGATGATGTCACAATGCCATCATAAATAAATAAATAAAACCGCGTTTAATTTAAGCTGAGTTGTTAACTTAACTGAGTATGTAATGAGACAATGTAAACTTAATTTAGCAATAAATCAAAAAAGAAAAACGATAAAAAAAAACAATATTAAATGAAGAGAACTAACTAACAATCTGGGAAAGAGGTATTTTTTAATAAGAATTGCTGCACAGTCCTACAGCAAGTAAAGCAAATAAAATATCTTGACAGCTGCGTAACGGATGAGTCAAGTACTGCTGCTGTAAAGATTTGAAGTTACAGCTGAGAGTTCGTCTTATGGATGCTGTGTGTGCTCTACTCTCCTAGAGGATATGGACTTTGGACCATTACCAAAAAGATAACGAACGCCTTGAAAATTGTGATGCTTGACAAAATGAAGAAAGGCATGCTGGAGTATTTTGGCCATCTGATCAAAGGTAGGAAGTACCGACTACTACAAAATATTATGCAAGGCAAGGGACATGACTTACAATGGCAGGTGATAAGCTAAGACTATCGATGATGGTTACCAACGTCCTTGAAGGGCTTGATGTTACTTGATAGGAAAACGAATTAGAATCAACTTTCAAGTAGGAAATTTCCATTTGGTATATAATATTTAAGTATTTGATAACCAACCAACCAAACTTCCTCAAATATATTTTTCATTGTAGTAAATATTCTTGGTTTAAAATATTTCATTTTATAAATTGCAAATTCTACTTCTGAGATTGCATCACCTCTTGATTTTTGAAAGGAGTCCCTTGAAGATGATTCAAGAACTGATCGACCAGTGGAGGTCATAATGGAAGAGAGAGGTGGTATTGTGTGATCGACGATTAAAGGTCAAAGAAATCTCAGAAATTACTAAGCTTTCTGATACAAGTGTTCGTCGAATCCTGCACGATCATTTAGGTATGCATAAGGTTAGTGCAAGATGGGTTCCTAAAAACCTTACCGCTATTCAAAAACAACGCCGTATTTGAGTGTACGCGGTCTTTTTTGGATCTCTGTGGGTCGGAACCGAAGCCTGTGATAGAAACTGTTGTGAAGGGAGATAAAACTATGGTCCTCTATCATGACCGTCTATAAAAAAAGGAATCAATGGAGCGGCCTCGTAAAGGTGAAACGCCTCCAAGAAAATTCAGAGTCTGCCAGTCAACAAAGGATTTCTTTTGATATATTTTAAAGAAACAAATACTACTGTCAATGGTGGATATGACGCAACATTATTACATAAATTGCGAGACTGTGTGAAATGGAAACTGACCAGAGGCGTGCGTCCTTTGCACGATAATACACCGGTCCAGACTGCTGGTGTTGCACAAGCTGCCATTTTAGAGTGTTAGGTGTTAGGTTTTTGGATACAATATCAAAATTTTGTATGTGGTATAAGGATTCTTCTATTTTTACAAAACTAGATAAGGACCAAAAAAATGTCATGGCACAGCTTTTGTTTATATTTTCAATTTATTTAAGGGAATAAAAGAATATGTGCCATCATTTGTTTAGATTAAGTGTAGTTCCGTATTTTAAGTACCAGCAATTAACATGTTCATGCACTTCTTCAGATGGACGATTATTTGAGACTTTTGTTAATTATTAAGGGCTAAACTTAATGTTCTCTTTTGATTGTAATATAAAAGGAGAAGCAGACAACCAAACACACACTACAAAAAATATCCTACACAATTTTTTTATTCCTTCCATTTTCGAGATTCAAAGAAAAAGTTGCTAATGAATTTTTTTCTTCATCTAGAAGTACTTCTTTTACATTTTAAATTAAACCTGCATTCTGGATCACAAAGAGTACCTGCAGATAATATTAGATAGATAGATTTAGATAGATAACATTAATGCAAATAATGTATATATGTGGTTCGGTTTACCATCTTAATTAAATGTGTCTTTAATAATGATAGAAATTTATTTTTGCCAAAATTATTAATGTATCTTTAATAACACCTCTGAAAAAGCCCATTTTTAAAAGTATTTCTTGTTAGAGAAAAGTTTGGCTGACTCTCGATCTAGTGAATGCGCTAATTGTGCCGCGCGAGCCAACTGTCCGTCCGTAACCATGGCAACCGCCTTTGTTCGCGCCCCGCCGGAAAATTTGCCAGAGTCGGGATCTACATCGCGCAGACAATATACCGCCGCGAAGTACAACAACGCAAGTTGCACTTAGTACCTTTTTCTATTTATTTATTTTATGCATGTATTTGCCTATGGCTCAGAATAAAAGTTTACAATTACAACATTACCACCCTCTCACTATCAAACTAGGCCAAGATCAAACAAAACAAACTGGATAAAATGCAGTATATTTTTATAACGAATTGGTGTATGCCCAATCCAAAATGCTAAACATAAATATCAAAAATTTTAAAATTAAGTGATGAATTTGAATAATTTTTGTTTAAAAAAATTGAAATACTCAAACGAAGCATTTCGATTTGTTAAAAGAAACTTAGGATATGGAGAATTTGCCATTTTGAACTTAACCTATTTGAACCAAGCATTTAATTTTTTCCGCGTAACCAGTTGTTTCCGGAACCATTTTTAAATTTTTTTCTTCGCACTTCGCGTGACCAACGCTGAAATAACGTATTTTTAGATCGCTTTGGAAAATCAGACCACATAAATATGACGGTTTTTTTTTTTTCGCACCCATTTACATAAACCTAGGCAACGCGCGATCTCTAGACGGATAAGGCGACAGAGCGGTCCGGAGATTCCTGGCGCATCTCGGACGCTCAAATTGCCCCTACGCATGCGAATTGCGACGATCTTATAGTCACGAGCTTGCGAAAACGACCGCGAACGAGCTAAGTATCGATAAGAAACACCGATCGTTACTTAAAAATTAGCATAGAAATTTCCGTCGTGTACTTTTTTTGTTGTTGAATTTTTGCACGGCTTCTGGGGCCCTCCAGGTGTTAAAATTCAGGAAGAAAATTTTACTCAGGCACTGTCTGCTCTTGTCCATGCTGTTTTAGATACACAGCAGTATATCCTCAATTCCTTACATAATCAAAAGTGTCAAAGCGATCATCAGCATCAGCATGTTCATTCGTTCTTCGATATTTTTTTTTTGTCATGTTGGTACACATGTCCCTAATATATGTTCACAGTTTCAGCCAGTATGCGCGTTTACTTTTTTTGTGAGAGAGGAGTGTTAGATGTGTTTTGTATGCTTGCTGTCAAAAAAAAAAATGGAACAGCTTTGAGCAAAAAAAAAAATGTTTAGACCCTAGTTGTCCCAATGAAAGAGACTCCAGGATTACCAAGAGCGAAAAAAACATCATTGCCTGTGCTTAACTTTTTGACCACATTCACGCCTCAGCCACCATATTCAACGGATATGACCCCCCGAGACTTTTTCTTGTGCCGAAAACTCAAGCAACGATTGAGAAGATAAAGAAAAAATCGGATAAAAAAATTAAGAAACCTAAAATAAAATTCATGTTTTAAGGTAAGTAGGTAAGCAATTTCATCAGTTCTTAGAAATAATCTTCTCGATTAAGAAAACTTGATAAGATGTCTCGATCTAAGATAAAACGTTTGTACGTCATGGTGTTCCCGAGCGGTAAATCACGAATAAAACCTGACGTGCTGTGAAATCCGTGAAACTTTTGTGAAATATTGTGAAATCGGTGACCTCTCTAGTTTTGCATTTTTATTTTCCAGTTCACCTATTTAATTTATACATGTGAACCTGAAAAATAAAACAAGTGTATACAGGAAAACTACTTTAACGGAAACGTCGATTCCGAAGACAACAGACAGCAATTTAACACAGACAGAATGCGAACAAGACTTGGAAGATGATCAGGCACTAAGCGGGTTGATAAAGCGGTTTCAAACAACAATTGCGCATCTGTATAGCAACAAGCAAGAAAGGGTGAGGAGGAGCACCAAGAGGAAGAAGAAGATGAAAAATGAGACCAACATATTCAGTTAAGCTGCTAGAGAAACTTTTTATGTATCATGGGAAGGATGCCCTTCTCGAAGAAATGTCAAAAATACAATAAATGTGGTTCTTAAATATTTATATAAAATGTTCCTAAGTAAATGTTAAAATACATATTTTAACATCTACTTTACATACATACTACTACTGCCAAGAGAAAGAAGAAGATGAAGAAGTTGATCTGGGACCACCACCGACCATTCAACAAGCCCTGCTAGCGAAACTTTTTATGTACATGTACAACATTAAATGTTGTTCTTAAATATTTATAAAAAATGTTCCTAAGTAGATGTTAAATATGCATATTGTTATTTTTTAAGTGCATTACAAGTAATATGTAGAAAGAAATCCAAAAGTGTGAGTAAATATCTCGCTTGAAGACGTTTCAGCACGGGGTGCGAAACAAGTGCGAAACAATAAGAAAATTGTAATAGAATTCCTCCAAACGCCGTTCAATTTCGACATCAACTTTAAATTTCTACGCCGAGACGGCGGCCGGTCGTCGTCGCGTCGCGTTTCCCAACAAAGAGAAAACGAACGTAATAAATGTTATTAAATTTGTAATATTTTCCAGAAAAATTTGGGCCCGCCGAGAGAAAGCGGCGCAAAACATCATTAATTTGATCGAATTGATAATAATTCGGGACGCCGATTTCAGGAGGTTACGAATTATTAATAATAATAATTTAATATTATATTAATATTAATAATAATGTCGTCTTTTGGATGGGAGTTTCACCGATTCCGAATTATATGAGTATATAGGTATATATGAGTGTATGGGTCCCCGGCGAAGCAAAAATGTGAAATGAAGATTTTCAAATAATTTAGTGTCATCAGCATAAGCACTCACACGAGAATCAATGCTGGGGAGTAAATCCACGTTACACACTAAGAATAGCACTGGTCCCAGCACCGATCCCTGGTCATAAACTTATCTTGTATAATGGACAAAGTAATATGTCCAGCGCATTTCAAAAAAAGACTCCATTCAAAGGCTTTTAACAATCACATTCCTCCTCAAAAACAAACTTTGCGCATTTGGCCGGTTCGCTTTCCGTTCTTTTTGGCTATTCCAAAAAATACCTGGAACCGTTTGCCGAACCGAAAATTTGTTTCCATTACTAAGGCTTCCGATTCCTCAACCTCAGATGAACATACTTATTATTAAAAGGATTTCTCAATGGCCTTTCAAAGATAATGTCGGTTAATGGGTACTATAGAAAGGGGTAAACCCCAATTTAAAGAAAAATTGTCTGTTTTGAAAGGTTGGAGATCCAATTAGCCAATGTAATTTGGGAAACAGCCGCTCGAAAATTCTTCTTCCAGATATCTGTTAAGATGAATTGTTTTCCTCTATGTACTCACCTATACGCCACTGTAATAATTAATTTACACAAGAGACTGATAAGATTTTTGAGTGGCTAAGATCCCTGTACTGTTTCAAAATGAAGGACAAGTTTAATAGGCTAGCGACTAAGAACCAATTTGAACCATGCCACCAATAGCTGGAATATTTTGTCCTGTAGAATAAGAAAAAGTCTTATTAGAACCCCATCTTTTCTAGTTCTAGTTCAGATCTAGTTCTCTAAGGTTCAGCAAAGCCAGTACAACAATAAAGAATAGAATTACAATTTTATAGGTTACAGTCACATCGTCCTCGGTTGAATAAGGGTTGTTTTCAACTGGCAAGGCAAGACTGAGTGCTGAGTTTTTACGAAATAAATTTGAAAGTATCATCGATTGTGGTTAATAGACATCCAAACCACATTTCAAAGCATTAATAAAAATATTTGCATCTAATTGGTGTTTTGCAATTTTTGTCGCGCATAACGTTAAATTTTCGAAAACGGTGTTTAAAAAAGACACGAATCGTTACCATCTGTTTTATATATATGTTTGTGCGCGTCGATCCGATGGCAAAATCCTCAAATGTGAAGGTCGAAAACATTCACAAAACTCGTCGAGCGTGACATAATTTCCAGCCGACATTTTGAATCCGAAATCATTTTAAATAAATTCGTTAACGATACCCGGCGTACGTAGTTTTCTACTAATTTACTTGACGTATTAAGGTGCGTAGAAATTTCCACGGTGCGATATCGGTCAGTTAACCCGTTAACGACCATTAAAATCTACTAATTGATTTTCCCAAAAACAATAAACGCCAGTCAGACAAACATCGCAGGTTGAAAAGAAAAGATTCTTTCTGTACAGCGTATTCAATTTATCTCGATAACATTCTGATTTTGGCAGTAACTTTTTTGTTTTTAACGATATCAGGGTAAAACACTAATAATTTTCTGCGATCACAGGTCATATTTTTCTACACATTTTTCGTAAAATTTAATGATATAGTTCTTGGCATTGAATGATAGTTTTGGTTTGTCTGAGCTATTATCTTGATTCGGGTTTAAAGGCCGTCGTCGGTTGGAATTACTTCCTAACGTTTCGCTAGCACGAGTGGCGAGCTTCTTCAGAGGTCCTTCCATCTCCGATGTTGGACGTAGACTGACGATTTCTCCTGCGCAGGTTGTATTTATGCCGATTGGTGGTGGGCGGGGCTTGTTCCGCTTCGGTTGGTCTCGGGATATCGATCGGTACTGCTCGGGCGTTCCTAGGGATCGGGTTCCAGATTGTGTGGGTGTTTTTGTATCTCAATGGCTTCCCTGACTATCCGAATGACATTGTAAGGTTGCCCACCATCTTGCTTTTATTATTCGTGTTGATATATTTAGCGGGGCAAGGAGGCCCACCTCAAAAATTAACCAAAAAAATTTGTTTTTTCCTTATTATAATTATAATTTCTGGCTATTTATATATCTTTAAAAATCTTCAAAAATATCTTTACAAAACCCAACCATAAATAATTTATTGGATAATCCTATGGACTTAGTCTAAAGACAAGACAGAGTTTTCGAAAATCTTATAAATACCAATAAGAAATTTTGTAATCGATAGAAAAAAAAATTTTGAAAAATACTTTTTAATAAATTATTGTAATTGTTATATATAATATTATAAATAGGGACGAGTGGGGCACGACGCACGACGGCCAGAAGCTTCGCCAAAATTTGGGTAAATTTAGTTAAAGTTAGTCAAAAATATATCGACTTGATGGTTAAAAGCCACACCCGCCCCTGTATATCGTGCGATGTTGTGTTCTAAGAGACGCAAATAATGATATCCACTTAATTTTTGAATATATATGTCTATAACACCACAGTTACGCAATTTTAATGAGAATTACGTACCATATTGAATGCCTATACAAGGCGTTACATTTAATAAGATAACAAATAGGTCGAGATCTTCAAAACCTAACCCTACATTTTGTTTTTTTTTTATTAACCTTGATCTCTTTAAAAACCAAAAAGTTACAGCCCATCAAAACATCATCAAGATAAAATAAATACATGTACCTATACTACCTCGTATATTGGATTTTTATACGCACAAGATGTTTCGGGAACAATTAAAAATTAGAGAGACGACACTAATGAGCGGCGATTGGAGAGCGCAAAAAGACGTAACGGTTATATTCTCCTTAAATGGCCAAATCGGATTTGAAATAAGACAGACCATCTGTCGTTTCGCCGACGAAAATTTCAATGCGGTGGTTAATCGGAAACGATTAGCGAACCCGATCTCGTCCAGTCGTAGGGAGATGTTCGGCCGCCATGTGCAAGGCTCCGCCACCCTTATCCCTTATCTTAGAACTGAAGAAACAGAATCATAAGTGGGAGCAGATTTTACTTACCGTCTTGCACAATAATGGTTTTATTTGGAAGATGTTAAGTGACCGAAGTTCATTAAACAGGAAAAAAGTTACGATATTCCGAAAGTGGCATGGCATTCTTTTTCACGTGAAAAATTTTGCATCATTTACATTTTGTTATTTTAGTCGATTTCCTTTCATATATTCTTGGGACGTATAAAAAAAAGATATCAAAATATAATTACAGATTACATGAAGGAAAAGAAAATCGTCATTTTTTTTTCTCTGGCACTACTTGCCCTTCTAACAAAAGCTTTTTCAGTTTTCTGTAGATTGTAACATATTGACAATTGCCTGTTTTTAGTACAAGTGTTACTTTAGATTTCATCCCTAGTCCATTCGTATCAGACCATCGCGTGCTTAGGTCACGCTTAAAGCGTCATATTCGAAAATGAAGAACACCTAAGAGAAATGACGGGATAACAAGCGATGGCGTGACTCACTTGAAGATATTTTCCCATGTTCTTCCTGCCGACCGGTGTCCTGGAAGCGATACCCATGGAAGAATGCAGGTAGCTGCCCAACGGTTTACAGTAACCGTACCAATTATTGTCCGTCACTTTATCACTAGTACAGTCCGATTTATCACTACCCTCGTCAGCGCAACCGACGCGTTTAATCGCGTCCGAATGATAGAAAACGGGTTTCGGCTTGTTCAAGTCGCAACGCGAACGGTACAAATACGACGAGTTCCTCGACACATTTTTCGCGCTCACGTGCAAATTGCTGGTGCTAATCACCAGCTCGGTGTCCGGCAAGTTGGACAGCATCTTGTGGACGTTCGGCGATATGATGTCCAAGTTCTCGTTACTCTTGTTGATCGCTTTTTCAGGCGATCGTACCGATCGGTAAGCGAATCGGTTCGATCCCAACCTTTTCGGTCCCAGGACCTCGTCCGAGCTGAACTTTTTGCTAATTTCCTGCTCGGGGACGTTGCTCAGTATTTTCTGGACGCAAGGAGACAGATGCGCGAAATTGCCGAGCTGATGGGAACGTTTCGGCGTCGAAGTTTTCACACAGGCGTCGAAGTTAGTCTCTTTGATCGTCTCACCCAGGTAGGCGTCGAAAACGCCCATAATACTCGGCATCAAATCCGGCGATGGTCCTGCAAACAGGACGAATCATTGTATAGGGGTATTCCAAAAATATACCAAATAATAAAATTTTATATTTATTTATACTACGACCAAAAATATAATGCATTTATTGATTTGACGTTTTAAGACCTTCGCAGGACCGATCCCAACAGATGTTTATTCTGCATTAAGGAGGTCTTCCCTGTGATGGACCGTAACGAATATTTGTAGAAACTTTTATTTGAAACGTAAATGCAGAGTGTCAAATTTGATTAAGCAACGGGGTATTTTCGAAGAAGTAGAAGAGTTTATTTTAACATAAGGTGCGAGTTTAATCTAGATTACAGTGTGTTCGTATATATTTGACTATGATCTTTACAGTAAGTACGTATTTATGTACCTGATTCTCGAGCTTAGGCCCTGAGAGGCTGTTTTTACAAATGTTAAGAGTACCTGTACAACATTCTTCATCTTGTATTTTTGTGTCTTGTACATAGTTCTTCGATTTGTAAACAACAATAGATTATATTCGCGGTGCGTCATAAGAATACAGATACAGAATCTTACGATTTTTTGAATGATCCTGTTTTTTAACATTTTGAAATGTGGAGACCGTGGAATGAAGCACCAATTTAGAAGACGAACTACCTCAGCAAATAAAAAAAACGTATCCGTTTGTCTTCGGATGCTAAACAAATCGTTTTGAATGTTTACAATTTTATAAGGAATTCAGAAGGGAAAGTAGGTGCAGGAATAAAAACAAGTGACATGGAACGTAATAAATTGTTCGACGAAAAACATTGAAAAAATAAATTCCTAGGACGGTCCTGGAATGGTCACGGGGTTTTCTATAAGGAGCTGCGGTTTTGGAGTAATAAGTAGTAGATAAAATTAATAATAGGGTCGGTTGTAAAAGCACTATAATTATGGTCGAAGTATACAGACTTCTTTTACAACAAAGCACAAATTTTTCAAATCTAGGCAATTAAAAAACCTAAGTAAGTACGTAATCATAGAGTTGGCATTAGTGTAAACTAGTGGCGTTGACCAACTTATTTCAGATTTTTTTCAATTTGATGCCAGTCTGTGCTTCAGGTATACCACGTATAAGTAAAAAAAAATAAAATTTCTATTACATTTCTATTATTAAATAAAATTTTGCTCCATATATCCACAGACATAATAACCAATAATAACTAAAATCGGTGCATAGCGTAGCATTCTTTATCGTATTTTAAAAAATAATTCGGAATATGAGGAAAAAACACATCCAAATCTGCCATTGTTTATTTATTTCCGAGTTTATCTTTAATTTCAAAATTGCGCATTCCTTTTCAAGAATTTCATTTACTTTTTTAGCTCGATAACATCCTGACGACTCCCTAGCATTCCGACGTCACAAGTCGCGCCATTCAATACGGTCCCCACGCCCATGCATCAGTTCCTAAATGTTAATATTTAAAAAAAGGGGGTCATAAGCGTCCCAGATAATTATGTTTAGATATGACAGGCGCTACACAATAAAAATAAATAACATTACAATGCTCACGCGATCGAGATTAAGAAGGTTATTATTCCGGGTGTTGATTTAAAAAATATATATTCGACTATAACGTCGAATCTGATGGCCTTTGTCGGCTGTCCTATTTGTTATTCGTTTCGTTAAGGAACATGATACGAAAAGGTGCGACGTATACATCAAACGTAATGCCTTAATGTCGTGCATACCTACATAGAGGTACGCCAGTGTTGCAAAGTCTAAGTCTGCTCTGATTTTGAATTTTTTGAAAATTTTGATTAAAAATGTTTTAAAGTATGGTGCATTTTATTGATAAATAAAGACCTTGTCCGGCCCCCTTCTCAACAAGGAGCGTTTTTTGTTAAATTAATGAGATAATGATGTAAACAGAATCCGATGGTTCAAAGGGGGGGCAATTTTTATTATCTATTTAAAACGTCCTTGTAAAATGAATTGTGTGTGTGTGTGTGTGGTGTGTGTGTGGTGTGTGTGTGTGGTGTGTGTGTGGTGTGTGTGTGGTGTGTGTGTGGTGTGTGTGTGGTGTGTGGTGTGTGGTGTGTGTGTGTGTGTGTGTGTGTGTGTGTGTGTGTGTGCGCGGGACGAAACCAATTTGTTTGTACACCTTTTTACAAATTTATTTTTTCCAGTGTATAGTAAAAAAAATATGTCTTTTGGTTGGTTAGGAGATATCGGGTTTTATAAATTACAATTACATATACGCATTATTGGTAATTAATGCTAACAATTTTTAAGTATTTATAACATTTTTCCCCCCAATTAGTTTATAGAAAAAAAAAAAGAAAGATATATTATATTTTTTGAAATAAGAAGATCGTGGATTAATAAATTACGTATTCGGGCAAATTATTGGTAGTAATGTTAAAAAATTTTATGTACTTACTAAAGGTTAACACTTAAATATTTAATGTTTAAAAAGTGTATTGAGAACGCTCTCAGCAAACAACACAACAATGTCTTGACGAAAAAGCAATAAGATTTTTACGTTTTATAACGAATAAAAACTTTTATTACCATTTTTTTGTTTCATTTGTATTTATTCAAATAGGTGTATAGATAAAAAATATAAGATTTCTGAAGAATTATAAAGAAATAGTTTTGGCTTAATTTAAAATAACATTAATGTTGATAATTTTTTATAAAATATTTAGGTTTCTTGTATATTTCGATGCATGTATTCCAAAAAATATATGCGCATATATTCAGGTATTCCGGTCCTCGATGATGAGCAATCGGGGGACATCTACGCGGCTATTAAGAATTTCTATAAGTATTTATTGGCACACTTTGGCAAATATTAAATGAAAGTTTTTCTATGATCTCGTATAGAGTTTAATCTACAGTTTTTATAATACAAAAAAGTGGACTTTAGAATACCTAAATATATAAGGGTCCAGTAGAGAAACTAGTAAAGCCCTGTGCAGTTTTCTCATATTTTTAAAATAAATAAAAAAATTAAGTACATTTGCAATAAACCTTATCGTCTTTTATTATTTGCCGTTAAGAATGCCTAGCTAAAGCGGTACCTCACTTGAACGCGGCTTTCAAATTCGTAATTTAAATTTCGATCGACCTCCACACTAGTCTTGCAAAGACTTTCTCAATATATTTTTTTGTCTTCTTTTGTCGCAGTTTTGATTGGTAGCGGAAGAAAGTTATTCTTCTATTCTATTCGAATTTAAAGTACAAATGTTTCAATTTATTTTCTCCCCGCTGTATAATTCTTTAAGTTTTCAACGTCTGTCACGCAACATTTCAAAAATCATTTTTCAAAATTCCAAAACATATTGCCACGCTTCATTTTTTTAAAAGTAAGGCGGTAAAATTGGCGACCATTAGAACGCAAAACGCCCGTAAAACTAAGACAAGTAAAAAAAAAAACAAATTCTCTGATCAACTTTTCTTTATTCGGGGCACATTAATTTTCAATTTCACAAAAAAAAGTTATAATTTTTTTTTTTAAATTGAAATAGACATCCGGTACAAACATTCTAAACAACAACAACAAAACAACTAAATTTTGAATCTTTTGTCCAGCGTGAACTAAACATTTCTTAGTCCACCTCTGATAACTTATTTATGGCGATTTCAGAGCATTGTGCATCTAAATACACAATGCACTCTATATATAATAGTGAATGGTTTACCTATGCTCTGGTGCCTAATTCATCATTAGCAACAAGAATATATGCTAATTCAAAACATAATGACCAAAATTTGAAAATGAAGCTATATTGGAAATAGTAGTTTGTAGAATAATAATATCTATTACAATTTATTTATTTTCATATTTCATTTCATATTATTTTAACTTTTATGCAATTTATCTATACTGCCAACGACGTTACAGGAAGGCGTTAATTTTTTTTAATAAAGAAAAAAGTAAAAAAAAAAGCAGAGTGGGTTCGGGCAATTTAGCAAACAAAAAAAGCAGGACTTAACAAAAAGGAACAAGAAATATCACTTATTGAAAACAAAGCTGACTAACTGAACACTAATTAAGATGTCTGGAAATTAACAAATAATATTTTTTTAATGGTTTTTGGATTTTTGTTTCACAAAAAATCTACACTTTCACTTTGTCACACTATACCGGGTTAATAAAAATTACCGGAACGTTTACAGAACAGTATTGTCAGATTTATCAATTTTACGTCACACGTAGTAATTTTATTATTTTAAACAGAATAACCTATTTTCTCATAATTTTAAAAATGTGTTTTATTAATTAGTGCAACGTGGCAACACCGCCTTTTCAGTAGAAAGTACCGGAACGAGTAAATATTTTCAAAACAGTATTTATAATTATTATATATAATTAATAAAATTATGAAGTTTAACGTAAAAGCAGTAAATCCGACAACACCGTCCGACAGCAGGTATAGATTTTTTTGTTCCAGCTTTGGTAGTTTTGGAGCTATTTAACCGTTCCGATACTTTTTACTAACCCTTCATCTAGTGTTAAAGTAAAACTTTCACTTTGAGTATTGTTGAGTTAAGTATTATCAGGTGCTCGCGTTTAAGAAAGGAACCGATTGATATTCTATGGGCGTAGTGTTGCGTGGACTAATTTAATAAACGAGGTCACCGCAGAAGCGAAAATAGTCCGACTCCCACCGGCTTAATTGATCTTAGTATCGACGTTAGTCCAACGAATTCTGAACCCAATAAATACGCTAGACATTTCGACTAGTAGCTCGGTTTCCCGACGTTGATGACTTATCTTTAAGGCGGCAATTAACAAGTAGTAAAATCAAATCGCGGCCATAAATCGACTTTTAAAAATTTCCAAGAATGACCCGTGACTCATGCGACGGTGAATGAATGACAGCCGTCACGTGGTTTGTAGCGCCAAACCTGTTTTAAGTAGAATTTTAATCGGATAGGATCCGCCAGAATATCTTTTTTTAACGTCCGTTGGCAGTTACCGACGCCGATTTATAAACACAATCGACAAATGAATTGAAAGCAATAAAAAGTTAACCGGGCCAG